AAGAATGTTCTGAGGGTGCTGCTTGAGTGATCTGGTTAGTTCTGAGATGTTTTTGGCATCTTGCACCAGGGTTGAGAAAATCTGAAATCTGCTATCTGATACACTTCACTGTATCCACATAGACATTGCTGCAAAGCCTGGCCAGGAGACTTGTTGCATCTGTTCTATTTTCCATCTTTTGATGCAGTACTCGTTGCCCTCTGTTGCTTAGGTGAGCTGACTATTACATCTTTCATGTGCATCTCTACTGCATGGTGTGAACAAATGAGGAGGCACAGTTCTGATGCACAGACCCAAAGGTCAGACCACATACATGTCTTGTAATTTTCCCTGAGGTCGAGGTTTGAGTCCAGGAGTCTAACTGGGGAGTCCCCGAAGAAATTTGCCTAGGAAATTCTCAGACTTGACTCTTGTATGCACCAGCCACCACAGTGTTAGTTTTGGTCCATCACCTGCACCAGCCAGCACACATACCAGAGGATGTAGCTGCCTGGTTAATTCTGCCCTCAGCCCCATCTCTCACATGAACCAGTGAGTGCTGCGGCTCAACCCTCCACAGGCCCAGCCCTCATGTATACCAGTGGGTGCTGTGGCTTAGTTGGGGCACTCCCCAATAGCTTATTCCTGTCTTCACCAGCTTTTTGGGTCTGACTCATGTTTTTCCTCTTCAGTGAAGCTGCCCCAAATCCTGCAATTCTGCCTGAACTTAATGGAACTTAACCCAGGCTTTACAATGAAGGACTTGCTTGTTTTCTGTGGTAATTTTTTCCAGCCCACCAGCTTGTCATTTCTATAATTCAGAGACCTAAAAGCTAACACTGCTACCAAAAGAGCCAGGGGATTCTCATCCATTTTTAAGCTAACATTTGAAATTATTTGACATCCAGATGTTGGTGGAATGATGAAGAGAAGTGCTTTCTCATTATTTTCATGTGCCTTTTTTTCTCATCACTAATAATATTTCTTTCTTTGTGACTTGCTGATTCATCTTTTATCTAATTTATTTTTTAAGAAATGTATTTATTCTTAAGTTTATTTGAAGGGCAGAGAGAATATTTTGGCTTATTCACCAAACACCTGCAATAGCCAGGGCTGAGTTCTGCTGAAGCCAGGGCCAGGAACCCAATCCAAGCCCCCACATAGTTGGCAGGAATTCAAGTAGCTTGAGCCATCACTGCTGCCGCCCTGGTATGTGTTAGCAAGAAGATGGGATTAGAAGCGAAGGTCAGACTTGAACCCAGACACGCCGATGTGGGTTGTGTCTTAATCATTGTGCCAACCCCCTGCCCTTTTCTTTCTAGTTTGAAAGTACAATTTCTGTCTTTTTCTTGTGTCTTCTATACAGAAATCTTGTGTCTGTGTGGATATTGCAAATGCCTTTTTCCAGTTTGTTGCTCAACAGTGAATTTTTAAAATAAATTTCTTCCCTGAATAGAATTGCTTAGCTTTATAGTCAAAACCCCTATAGACTATATATTTATAAACTTAGGAAATTATTTCCATATCCAATCCAGTCAAATTTTTTGGTAGAATATCTAGTGGGTTAAGGTGATATGCCACTTTCTCAATGAGAAGATTCTAACTGTTTTTGGCTAACTTCAAATATAAAGATCTGGACAATAGAAGTTACAAGAAAATTATCTGATAGCTACTTTTATTTAGTTAGTAGCTCCAGAATTTAAGTCACACATTTTACAAGTGTAACATAACACATTCATAGGCACATATTTCTATTTCTACCCCCACATTTCATAAACTCAACTTATTCTAGTTCTTTTCATGTATTTATTCATTGAGATCATTTTTGGATAATGTATCTTCCCCAAATAACTTTGAAAGAGTGCCCATAGTTTGGGAAAAATTTTACTTTAAGGTAATTTCCTCCTTCCCAATGAATAATTTTGGGTAAAATATTTCTTTTTACATATATCTATAAATTTATACTATTCTACAACCCCTTCTTCTATGAGTGCTGTTTTTCTTTCACATTTAGATCTGTATTAATCTGCAACTTTTAATAGTTTATTTATCTGAAAGAGAGAAACTACTGGTTTTAGATTACAAATGATTGGCTGAGAGATTTTTGTGTTTATGAAATGAAGGCTCAAGTTAAAACCACCTGTCCAGAAGAGGAACCTGGGATCACTTGCAGAGTCACTTTAGAAGAGATTGCCATGGCCACACTCTGGGGAAACACGAGATCACAGCTGCAGTTTCGTCGTGGGTGCTGCTCCAGTGATGTTATTGTAGCTCTGCGACCCCGGGCTCCTTGCACAGCTCTGTTGGCACCTCACAGTGCAGCCTTGCTCCTGGAGCCATGCCCAGGGGGTCTGTGAGGCACTGTCTGCCTCTTCTCCCACGTGATTCCAGCCCACCTCCACAGCTCTCCTCAGTCACAAGGACGCCCTGTCCACCAGTCCATCGTGATCTAAACCCAGCTGTTCCCTTACGCTAACACGAACTCTCCTCTTTATAGGTGTTCTCCAAAATTAACCTTCAAGCCAGCTGATGTGGGGGGTGGAGTCCATGTCTTAGCAATGGATATTCCCTGCAATGCTTTGGGGCTTCCGTCCACTGCAGGGGAGGGAGGCCACGCCCAGCAGGAGACCACAGGAAAGATGAGCAGGCACTCTCTGTTGGTCAGAGAGGCTTGGTTATTAGATATGAACTCAGCTGTCTGGAGTTCCATAGCTCTTTCAGCCCTGGTGTCACATAAATTGTGATCCATTGAGCAGCCATGGACAGAGCAGTTGAAAAACTCCCTGGACTTGGTTGCAGGTGAGAAGCCAGAGCACAGATCATTGACAACAGCAGGAGAGGAAGGAAGGAACTGCTTCACCAAGCACAGGTCTGGGTTTCTGTTCCGAGCTAAAATCTCCCTCAGCCTTCACTTTAATACGGAAGTGAATCTTCTCCCACTATTTCCTGTTGCTGCCCTGTGGGAGGTTTCACTTCTGCTTTGACTGCCAGAGCAGAAAGGCAGACACGAGAGGGAACCCTAACCACCACGGTGGTGCAGGACCGCAGCAACCCCCTGGGGGTCCCAGATTTCCCAGACATTGAAAAGGGTGCCAAAGCCTGGTTCCTGCAGCCTAGGATCGCTGTCTGGGATAGGCAGGTGGGGAGAACTATGAAAGGATGTGTTCATGTGGGGTGTATGGGGTGGTGTGGGGGAATGTCACATGGTTTAGAAACTGTCAAAACAGAAAGTGGAAGTCACAGTGGATCTGAAGAGGAAGGAACTTTGAGAACAGCAAAGATGAATCTTGAATGGATTGGGTGGTGGATTGTGGCCCTTCTGTTTCTGCTCCTTTTATAAAGAAAGTTCACTGACTTTCATCACCTGGGCTGTCTCAGCCTTGGGATGTTGAACATGTGGGCATGCTGGTTTGTGTGTGTATGTGTGGTATAGGAAAAGAGTTAAAATCTCTGGACTTTGGAAGTATCTTGTATTTCTCTGCTTTGAAAGGAAAAGACACACACACACACACACACACACACACACACACACACACACACACACACAGATTTTTTAGTTGCTGATTCACTCCCAAAATGGCTGTAGCAGCCAGATCTGGGCCAGACTGAATACAGGAGCCAGGAACTGTAACCAGGTCTCCCATACGGTACCAGGTACCCAAGTACTTGGCCTATCATATGTCTTACCAGGCTCATTAGTAGGGAGCTGGATCAGAAGCAGAGCATCTGGGACTTGAACCAGTGGTCCCATCTGGGATGCAGTCATCACAGGGGGCAGCTTTACCTGCTGTATCACCAAGCTAGCCCTAGGAAGCCGATTTAAGACTTTCAGTTAATGATTGAAAAGCCCATCTGGAGATAGTGCCATGGCATAGTAGGTGAAGCCTCCGTCTGTGGTGCCAGCATCCCATTTGTGTGCTGGTTTAAGTCCCAGCTGCTCTGCTTTCCATCCAGCTTCCTGCTAATGTGCCTGGAAAAGCCCAAAACCTTGGACCCCTGCACCCATGTGGGAGACCTAGAAGATGCTCCTGGGTTCTGGCTTTAAACTGGCTCTTCTCTGGCCATTGTGGGCATTTGGGAAGTGAACCAGCAGATGGAAGATCTTTGTCTCTCTTCTCTTGGTAAGTCTGCCTTTAAAGTGAAAAAAAAAAAAAAAAGAAAAGAAAAAAGAAAAATCTTAAAATAAAAGAGTCCATCTGTGGCATATCCATGATGGGATAAAAGGGTTGCCACTTAAAATTGGTCTTTTCAAGGGGCCCAGTGATAGGGCAGCTTCCTTCCATTTTTTCCTAGTAGTTTCCTAACAAGAAGGATGGGTACCACGATGAAGCAGACCACAAGGGAAATCCACAGGGCAATCAGTGTGGGAAAGCATGTGAGCTCTGGGCGCTAGCCTGACACAAACTACTTGTTAAAGGATTTCAGTGGAGTTACCCCTATCTTTTCCCATGGGAGGGATGTCTAGAAAGACAGGGTTTCCTGGCTCCAAAAAGCAGCTGTTACTGCTAAGGGGGAAATGAAACCTGACTAGCTAGAACCCAAGAAGCAGTTGGGGGTCCCACTGGGAGGGATTTTCCAGGTCCAAGGTGGAACAGCTTCCTGTACTCTTATTCTGAGGCCAGGTGCCTTCTTCCTTTCTTCCCAGCAACCCTCACCAACCTGTGTGAGAAGGGCACTCTGTCCTCCCAAGTTTACGTAATGGAGCCGAGCTGGGGTATGTGTGCACCAAGAAAGGATGCTTAGTCCTAGCCATAAGAGCAGGCACGGAGATGGAAACGTTAAAGCAGAGCAGGCTGCACCATCCCAGGAGTATTCTGTCTACTCTACTCCCCTGACCGGGAGCAATCCACCCACAGACTGGTTGCTTCCCAGAACTAGAGAGGACAGATCAGGAGTTCTGTTGTCTAAGCCTAAGGCAGGATGGGGTTTACCTAGTAACTGATGACGCTAGGTTAAGGCACGCTGTGATTTGTCACTACATCTTTCTTTGCCTACTTAGCCAATCTGGCAGCTCAGTTTGGGACAGCAGACTCAGGTTGGTGGAAATAGGTTTAGAGTCTCTGAGCTGGGTAGGTCTCAGTCATTTGTCCAGGAAGGGATCAAGAGGCCTGGGGAGTACTGTCTTCTGATCTGTGCCTAGAGGTCAGCTGCCCAAGCTGGGGCTTCTGGGGCAGGAGAAGACCCCCGGCCCTTGGAGGAGCTGGCCTGGGGGACTGGACTCCCCACATCCTTGCAGAGCATGACTGCCCTTCTGCTGCTGCTGCTGCTGGGCCTCCTTCTGGGCTGCACTGGAGCAGGTAAGGGCACTTCTGCCCAGACCCTTTCTTCCCCTGCTTCTGCTTTGGCTATGAGGACGTTCAGTTTTGTGACTGGATTTGAGCACCCTGTCATGTATTCCTACAATATTTTGTAACTTTTGCTTGTTGCTTGCTGGGCATAGTGCAATAGCTCAATTGGCTAGTCCTTCCCTTACAAGTGCTGGGATTCCGGCTTGTGTCCTGGTTGCTCCACTTCCCATTCAGCTCCCTGCTTGTGGCCTGGGAAAGAGTGGAGGATGGCTCAGTGCCTTGGGATGCCACATCTGTGTGGGAGACTTGAAAGAAGTTGCAAGCTCAGCTTCAGACTGGCTCAGCTCTGCCCATTGAAATCATTTAGGGAGTGAACCAAGGAGTGGAAAATCTTTCTTTTTGTCTCTCCTTCTCTCTGTAAACCTGCCTTTCCAATAAAAATAATTAAATCTTAAAAAAAAGAAAGAGTAACTAAACTGTGTGATGATTTGCCTGCTGCGTCTCTCCTACTGGCATGGCTGTGTTGGTCACTGTCATTTCTCTGACTCCCAGCACAGTGCCGGGCACTTTACAGATGTGTTCAGGATGAATAGTTAACACTGATTCTAGCCCAGAGCTGTGCTGACACTACCTCTCCACTATTTGTCCACTTCTCAGCAGTTTGGATTGCCAAAGATCTGTGTTCTGGATAACTTGTTCTGCAAGAAATCCTGGGCCACTTTGCTGACTTTGCTTTTGTACATTCATGATCAACATATATGCCATCTAAAATGTGGCTTTTCCCCTTATCTTATGCATCCTCCTATACAGTTGGATATCCTGCAAATCAATACAGTGATGACGTTAACTGGAGTCAACACAGACCCCACAGATTAAGGGCTCAGTCCCATAAAACTGCTCCCACCTTAGAAACCAGACACAGGCAGTAGCAGCTAACTTCGGTACACCTTGGGGTTTACAGAAGTCTTGGGGTCTATCCCATAATTGCCTTCTAGGGTTTGATCACATGCCGGAGACACTCAGAGAACCCAGGAAAATACTTAGTACTGATGATCTGTCACAAAAGTTTTTTTTTTTTTTCTTAATAAGAGAAATTGAGTCAGAAGAAATAGTATATTGATAAGGTCTGGAGGGGTCACAAGGGCAAGATTCTGTCCCCATGGAGTTATGGGTGCCGCCCTCCCAGCATGTGGGTGTGCCCTGTGGTCTCCACACCGCTTGGTTCAGTAAGTCAGTGGAGGCTTTATTACACATGCACAATTGATTGTTCACTCAGGCTCCCACCCTCTCCCTTCCCAGAAAACTGAACTGTGGCATCATGACTTGATCCTTCTGGTGGGCCACTCTCACCCAGGAACTTACCAGGGGTCCCGTCATTGAAATGGAAGATACTCCTTTCACCAGACACTAGCAAGGGGCTAGGAGTTCTGTGTCTGAAACCAGGGTCAAAATCCAAATATTAGAAGAAATGCATTTAGCACTGCTGTCATTTAGGAAATTACTGGAGTCTAGGAGCTCTGTGTAAGGAACTGGGGGCAGAGACTAACTATATTGTAAGTATTTTATTTATTGATTTTTATCTGAGAATGAGAGAGAGAGAGACCTCTACTGGTTCACTCCCCAGATGCCTATTTCAGCCAGGAACTCCAAATCTCCTACTAGGATTAGGCGACAGGGATCCAAGTCCTTTGGTATCATCTGCTGCTCCCATGGTGTAAGAACCAGGAGGCTGGAATTGAGGGCAGAGCCAGGACTCAAACCCAGGGACTCTGATAGGGGACACAGGCATCCAAGCATCAATGTAGCAAGTGTGTCAAACTTTTGTCCCTGAATTTATATTTTTATGATGTTACTGACCTGTCCTTTGGTTTCTGACTCTTCTAGGCGGCTTTGTGGCCCATGTGGAAAGTAGCTGCTTGTTGGATGATGATGGGAATCCAAAAGATTTCACTTACTGTGTCTCCTTCAACAAGGATCTGTTGACCTGCTGGGATCCACAGGAGGAAAAGATGGCCCCTTGTGAATTTGGGACACTGCGTGTTTTGGCCTTGAACCTCGCACAGAGTCTTAATCGTGAAAGCACTCTGCTGCAGCGCTTGCGTAGTGGACTCCAGAACTGTGCCACACACACCAACCCCTTCTGGGACAAGCTGACCCGGAGAGCACGTGAGTAGGGAGGGTGGTAGAAGGGTTGCAAGAAAACAGTTAAGAGAGGGGAGGCCAAGGAGCAATGCTCTGTGGGAATGGAGTTGAGGTTTGGGTGGGAAAAAAACTGTGGGAACATGGAACATAGAAAGAAGAGGGGTTGAAACTCCAGGGCAGATCAGCAGTAAAGAAGAGGTGACATGGCATCTGGGAAAAACTTTTGAGGGGAGAGTCAGCAAAGGTTATGGCCTCCTAGGCTGCAGATCCAAGTTCAATGAGCTTGGGTGAAAAAAAAAAAAAAAAAGACAGCTTTTACCAAGTATTCATGCTTTTTATTCTAGATTGACATTCTGGATCTGGGTGGATCCAAACTTGGGGATGTTTGACAGTTTCTTTGACTCTGTATCCTTTGCACTGAGAACGCCTTGAGATTTGTGAAAGAAAACTTGAAGCTCTCCAAGTCAAGCAGAGAGATTGAAGTCTTAATTTCTGACCACCTTCCCCACAATGTTTCTGGGGGAGGTGCTTGTTAAAACTGCCGCCCCCCCCCCCCCGTACCACTCCAGATCCAGTCAATGAAAATATCCCAGCATTTAGGCCAGAAAGTAATTTTTTGGAATTTTTATTTAAGATTTTGTTTGAAATACTAAGGTGGTGGTTGTCAAGGAGAGTAAGTAAAAAGCAGGTATGTTAACAATCTCTTTGACTGGGATGACACTAATCACACATTTAATCGTTCTGAGTTAGGTTTGTTTCCTTAAGCTATTCAAGCAGGAAAGGCTGTATTTAGCAGATCAATATGTTAAACAAGACATGGGGAATTTTTTTCCTCCCTTAACAATTCCAGGTTTGTAATTCTGTATTACCATTAGCTTATATATTTTAAAGTTTATGTACTTGACATAAATGTAATGACTTAAAATATTTATTTGAAAGGCAAATAGATAAGAGAGTGATTTTTATTAGCTGGTTTATTTCCCCAGTACTGCAATAGCTGGGGCTGTTGGTCCTAGTCCAAGCCAGGTGCTGGTGATTCAGTCTGGATCCCCACATAGGTGGTAAGAACCATCACTGGCTGCCCATGCCTTAGTAAGAAGCTAGAATAAGGACCAGAGCCAAGACTCGATCTCAGGCATGGAATGTGTACATCGTAGGCATTATGCCAAATGTCCACCCCAGAAACGAAAATAATTTTGAAGGAGAAAAGAAAGGGACAATGACGAATGGGAAGGAAAAAGGATTGAAGCAGGAATAAAATTCCAACTTCTCACTTTTGAGTAATGACATGTATGTACTTACAGGAAAGTGGGTTGGCAAAAATCAATGAGCAGTTGTGGAAGAGAACTCAGGTTGGAGAAAAAGCCAGAAGGCCAGCTTCCTTCCTGATCATGCTCTTTCTCTCATGTAGGACCACCAACTGTACAAGTAGCCCCAATCACTCCTTTCAACACAAGGGAGTCCGTAATGTTGGCCTGCTATGTGTGGGGCTTCTATCCGGCGGATGTGACCATCACATGGATGAAAAATGGGCAACCTGTCATTCCTCACAGCAGTTCGCAGAAGACGGCCCAACCTAATGGGGACTGGACATACCAAACCGTGTCTCACTTAGCCCTAACTCCCTCTTATGGGGATAAGTACACTTGTGTGGTGGAACACGTTGGGACAGCTGAACCCATCTTCCATGACTGGAGTAAGTGTATGGCAGGTGGTAGGACGTGAGGTTAAGGCAGGCAGACATTAGAAGTTTGTGGATAAAGCAAGTGCACCAGTGTTTTGACAGAGGGAGTACAATGTGGAAAGTCTCCTGGTAAAGAGGGAAATGTTGAGAATGAAAGTAAGTCTGGAGGAGATGGAGGGGACTGGAGGGGGAGGTTGTGTGCAGAGATGGGGCAGTGAGATAAAGGAGTGGAAACAGTTACTGCTTTTCTGTTGTGGTTGATCTCGCTATGTCTGGGTTTGAAGTGGGAGAGGAACATGATTGTACCGCAAAGAGGATGTAGATTTACTAAGCACATTTTTAGAACCCCAAAGCTGTAATCCTGTACTCCAGGCTCTTTAGATTTCAGCTATTCTGTCTTCATCATAGTGTGGGAGTTGAAGAAATCAGGAAGATTAAAGAAGAAGGGAGACTTTCTCTTGGTGTGGGGCAGTACTGAGCTTAAGTTGCTCTTTTGAGCATGCCAGCATGGTAGAGCGAAGGCTGGCAGACTCTTTGGTGTGCATGTTTTGGAACTATTAGGTGAAGAGCTGATGGTCATTGGCTGAACCCAGGATAGAAGATAATGAGGGAAGCTATACAAATGTGAGCAGTTTTGAGAGAGAAAAGAGGAAGAAATGAGGAAGAGAAAGGGTTCTTTTCTACAAAGAGCTTAGGAAGAGTACCCCAGATGAGCTGTTGAACCCCACCTCCCTTTACAGGGAGTCATACATTCCTGGGCAGCTGGGAAGGGGACAGGAAACCAAAGGGTTGGGACTCAGGTACTCTTGATCTCTCCTGGGGGAAAGGCTGCACTACCAGATGCACAAGGAGCTTGCCTTGGTGATAGAGTGGGGCATGACTCAAAATAGGACCAGCTCTGAGAAGCTGGAGAGAATGGTTTGCTAGAGACAAACTCTAAAATGATACATGGGAAGTTTTGATATAGAAGACACACAGTAAGATAAGTCATGAAACCATTGGAGGTTAGGAATCATGAAGACATTATAAAAGGAAAGCACTCAAATGGACCAAGTAGGGGGAGCTACCACAACCAGCGGGGCAGCCGAGAGGCGAGTGAGGAGCACATTACGCCAGTGAGGATGTCTTTGGGATGTGGGAGGAAAGATGTCTTTTTTTTTTTTTTAAGATTTATTTATTTGAAAATTAGGATCAGAGATATATTGAGAGATTGACTGATCAGTTTGGCTTACTGGTTCACACCTTAAGTCACGGCAGCAGCCAGGTCAAACCCAGGAGCCAGGATCTTTCAGTTTCAGGAGCTCAAATTGTTAGCAGGGAGCTGGATCAGAATGGAGCAGCTGGGACATGAACCAACATCCTTCTGGGAAGTCAGTGTTGTGGCTGGTGGTTTTTATGTGCTGTGTCACAGTGCTGGCCCCAGGAGAGATGTCTTGAAAGGCTCTACTTTAACAGAGAGGTACCAGCAACCACAAGTTTTCCCTCTGGGGAGACAGCTTCCCTAGGGCCATTCTTGGTGTAGAGGTTCATAAGCATGGAGTACTTGAAGAAAGGTCATTTCCTTGGAGCGGGTTGGTGTGAGCTAGACCTCTGAGACTGGGACAAAAGAGTTTTGGATTTTTTGGGTGGAGAGTGCAACAAAGTTGCTCAAAGTTTTTCTGAGCATGAGCTTGGTCCTGGTAACTTCCTGTTTTGCAGCACCTGGGTTGTCTCCTGTGCAGACGTTGAAGGTCTCTGTGTCTGCAGTGACTCTAGGCGTGGGTCTCATCATCTTCTTCTTTGGTTTGATCTGCTGGTGGAAGGCAGGCCCCTATAGTGAGTATCTTCCTGAACCCCTGTCATCATGCTGCTCCCAGTTTCTCCTCATGTCCTGGTGGTGGTTGGTTGTCTCCTTCCCACCCTATTGGCTATAATTAACAGGATATTCTGACCCAAAGAGACTGGTTTAATCAAGTGTGTTTCTCTTCTAGGCTATACTCCTCTCCCTGGGTCCAATTATCCAGAAGGTAATGTGTCTGTTTCTGGGCCTGCTGGTCCTCTGTAGGGGGTAGGAGTTACAGAGGGTCTATGTTGGACTCTGCTAATGGGGCTTAGCAGGGGTGAACTTGCATGAAAACCTAGTCAAGAGCATCATTTAAGCTGCTATTGCTGGGACTGGGCTATCTTCTTGTCTTCTACCCAGGCGTATCTATGGGGAGGAGGCTGAAGGGGGCTTCTTTGCATCAGTAGTCAGTGACCTAGAATGTTGACTATATGGCTCTGGATGGGATAGTTATGGGTAAAAATACTGGGGGCAAGTTGGTTTGGGATTTCATTGTCTCCTCTGTATTTCTCTTACAGGACGGCACATTTCCTAGAGGCAACTTCTGCAATTTCCATTCAAGTGAGCAGGAGATCCAAACTCCTGGAGGGTGCCATGTTCACCCGCCAGAATCTTCACACCCCAAGTTTTCTTGGGCCTAGAGTTTCTTGTCCACTTCTTTGAATGTACCAGCCCCACCTCCATGTATGCCCAGCAGCTTGAGGGAAATAATTGCTGGAATATTCTGTATCCAAATAATTACTCGAGACTGTATTTCTTCGGTAAATATAATCTGGAGAGAGAGGTTAAAGGCTCTCCTGGGAGTTCCACTCATTGTGGAATAAAACTCTGGTGAAAATTTTGTTTTCTTGTGTCTTTTCCCAGGAGCCCTGGGGGAAGGAATCTGTGTAGAGTGGGGGCTGAGGTTGATTCTTACTGGAATGGAGGAATCTGTGCCTCTTCTTGCTGTCCCAGTTGAACACAACAAAACTGAGGTGGGGGGAGGTTTTTTTTTTTTTTTTAATTTATAGCTCATAAGAAGAAATGAAATAGGGCTAGCACCATGGTATACGGGTTAAGCTTCTGCCTGCAGTGCTGGTATCCCTTTTGGGCACCTGTTCAAGTTCTGGTTGCTCTGCTTTTGGTCCAGCTCCCTGCTAATATGCCTGAGAAAGCAACAAAAAGATGGTGTGAGTGCTTGGGCCCCTGTACCCCTATGGGAGACCCAGAAGAAGGTCCAGGCTCCTGGTTTCTGATTGGCCCAGGTTCAGCCATTCTGGCCATTTGGGGAGTGAATCAGTGGATGGAAGATTTCTCTCGATTTCTGGTTCTTCTTTCTGTAAATCTGACTTTCTGATTCTGAACTGATCTGAAGCCAGGAGCCAGGAGCTTCTTCCAGGTTTCCCACATAGTTGCAGGGTCCCAAGGCTTTGGGCTATCCTCCACTATTCTCCCAGACCACAAGCAGGGAGCTGGAAGAGAAATGGAGCAGCTGGGACATGAACTGGTGCCCCTATGGGATCCTGGTGCTTGAAAGGAGAGGATTAGCTAAGTGAGCCATTGTGTCAGACCTGTTGTCATTTTAAAGATTTATTTAGTTGTATTTGAAAGGTAGATGTACAGAGAGTAGGAAAGACAGAGATAGAAATGTCTTTCATCTGCTGATTCACTCCCCAAATGACCGCAATGGCCAGAGAAGTGCAAATTTGAAGCCAGGAGCTAGGAACTTCTGGGTCTCCCACATGTGTGCACAGTCTGAAGCCAGCACCTGCTGCTTTCAAAGCCCATGAGCAGAAAGCTGGATGGGAAGTGGAATAGCTGGAACACGAACCAATGTCCATATGGGATGCTGGCACTTGCAGGCAAAAGATTAGACAATTGAGCCATCACATGGCCTTATGAAGAGATATTTCCTTAAAATGATGCCAAACAAGTGTGTGAAAAGATGGTCAACATCATGTAGCTTATTAGGATGGCTAAGATAAAAAAATAGTAACATCAAATGCTAAGAAGGATGCAGAAAAACTGAAACACTCACAGGCACAGATTCTGCACAAATGCCCACTCAGTTGGGGCTGGGATGGGCTAAAATCATTACCTAGGTCTCCCACATGTGTGGTAGGGACTTGGTGCTTGAACCATCACCTACTGTCTTCCCACATATTAGCAGAAAGTCGTACTGGAAACAGAAGTGGAGGCAAAACTTAACCCCCGGCACTCTAAAGTGGGAGACAAGTGTCACAAGAGGTGGTTTAGCCAACAGCACTACATTAACATGACTGCCACTCATAAACCGTCACATAAGATGTGAGACTTGACCAACTGTGTTTTAGACTTTTTTCTGCCATTCTGGGAGAAACCCACATACACAGTAATGCATGAGGAAAGTAAGTTTATTTCTCATAGGTCTGCAGGCAGGGAAGCTCAAGGCCACAGAACCAGCATCTGGTAAGGTGAGTTATGTCATGGCAGATGACAGGGTGAGTGAGCATGTGCAACAGGGGCAGCAGGAGTGCTGTGCTCACTTCTACAGCAGCCCAGGGTCCCGAGAACCAACCCGGGATGCAGATGAACCAACCCGGGATGCAGAGGAACCAACCCGGGATACAGATGAACCAACCCGGGATGCAGATGAACCCATCCATGACTCAATCACATCCCAACTCTTACACCTCAGGGATCAAGCTTCCAACACAGGAATTTGGGAGACACATTGAAACCTCCCGTTCTCCCACCTCTCTTCCTCCTATCTTCTTGGCCTTTGGATATGCAACTGTTCCAGTATTACTTGTGGAAAAGGTGATCTTTCCTTCACTGAATGCTTTTATACCTCGTCCAAAGCCATCTGAGCTATTCGTGTGGGTGGGTATACTTTAGGGTTCTTTATTCTGTTGCATTGATTTGTGTGCCTATCTTGTCCTCTAAATCAAAAAGCCATGCTTACTATAGCTGTATAATAGATCTTGAAATCATTCTGAACCCCACACTCTTCCTTCTTTTTCAAGATTCTTTGAGCTCTCCTATTCTTTTGCTTGCTCATTCAGAGTATTTTCAGTATTTATAGAAAAACATTGCTCATGTCTTAACAAGTTATGTATTAATTTGGTGACAATCAGTATCTCTATTATGTTGACTCATCCAATCTGTGGATATGTTTCTCCATTTATTCAGATATTTTATGATCTCTTTTATCATTGTTACATGGTTTTCAGCATTGAAGTTACATATATATTCTGTTAGATTTACACTTAAATATTTCATTTTGAGCAATTTAAAATAGTTTTGAAAATTGAATCGTTATTTGCATGATATTATTTATATAGATAGAACTGATTTTAAAGTGTATCTTGCATTTTATTTTTTAAAAAATATTTATTTTGTTTTTATTGGAAAGGCAGATTTACAGAAAGTGGAGACAGACAGAAAGATCTGTCCACTGGTTCACTCCCCAAGAGGCTGCAATGGCTGGAGCGGAGCTGATCTGAAGCCAGGAGCCTGCAACTTCTTCAGGGACTCCCACATGAGTGCAGGATCCCAAGCTTCTGGGACCCATCCTCGCCTGCTTTCCCAAGCCACAAGCAGGGGGCTGGATGGGAAGTGGAGCAGCTGAGGCATGAAGCAGTGTCCATATGGGATCCTGGCACATGCAAGGCGAGGATTTAGCTTCTAGGCTATTGCACTGGACCCAGTTTATATTGTATAACGTTTTGAATTCATTTACTAAATTTTGGGGTGTTTTTGTAGATTTTTCGGAGTTTTCTATGTAGAACATCATGTAATCTGAAATGCAATATTGTTGGTGTTTCTTGTTTGATTTGCATGCCTTTGTCTTCTTCCCTTGCCTTGGGGTACTAGATAGAACTTTGAGCAGTGTGTTGGGTAGGCAGTCTGAGAGTGGCATCTTCAGTTTCACCCGGTCTTAGGTGGAAAGCATTTGTCTTTCACCACCAAGCTTAATGCTAGCTCTAGGGATTTTATAAAAAGAAGCTCTTCATCAAATTGAAAATACTTCCTTTATTTTTATTGATTTCTTGTCATGACTGAGTGTTGATTTTTGTCTCAAAAAATTGTTTTTATTTGAAAGGCAGAGTCACAGGAATGAGGACAGAGAGAAAGATCTTCCTTCCACTGGTTCACTCCCTAAATGGTTGCACTGGCCAGAGTTGAGTCAATCTGAAGACAACAGCCAGGAGCTTCTTCTGGGTCTTCCATGTGGTATAGGAGCCTAAGGACTTAAGGCATCCTCCGCTAATTTCCCAGGCCGTAATCAAGGAGCTGGATTGGAAGTGGAGCAGCCAGGATACAACTGGCACTGATACGGGATGCTGGTGCTGGCAGGAGGATGCTTAGCACACAACACCTTGGTGCTGGCACCAAAAATGTTGAATTTAATTGAATGTGTTTTTTTTTTTTTTTAAATCAGATTGCTCTAATCCTCTGATTTTTCTATTATTGTTTGATGATATAGTAGATTGTATTGATTGATGCTTGATTGAGCCTTGAATTCCCAGAAAAATTCAATGATCAGGTTATATAATGTTTTGACATATTCCTGAATAGTATTTGCAACTTTTTGTTAAGAAATTTTGTACTTACATTAATGAAAGACGTTGCCTTATAGTTTTCTTTTTCATTTTGCTTTGTTACCTGAATAATACTAGTTTTATTAATATTTGGGAAGCATTTATTCCCTTCTTATTTTCTGGAAAAGATTAACTAGAGTGATGTTTCTCCTTTAAATGTTTGCTAGAAATCTCCAATGAAACCATTTGGTTCAGGTGATTTCCTCTTCAGGGCTTGAGTTTAAATTTTGTACCCATTGGGCCCGGTGTGGTGGCGCAGTGGTTAAGGTCCTCGCCTTGCACGCCCGAGATCCCATATGGGCGCCAGTTCTATCCTGGCAGCCCCGCTTCCCTTCCAGCTCCCTGCCTGTGGCCTGGGAAAGCAGTCGAGGACGGCCCAAAGCTTTGGGACCCTGCACCCACGTGGGAGACCCGGAAGAGGCTCCTGGCTTCGGACCGGCATAGCATTGGCCGTTGCGCTCACTTGGGGAGTGAATCATCGGACGGAAGATCTTCCTCTCTGTCCCTCCTCTCTGTATATCCGCCTTTCCAATAAAAAAATAATAAAAATAAATATTTTTAAAAAAATTTTGTACCCATTGCCTTAATAGTTACAGTGTTACTCAAATTATTTATTTCATGTTGGATTGAGTTATACTAGTTTGTTTCTTTTGAGGAAGTAATCTATTTTTGTATAAGTTGACAAAGTTACATATTTAATTTAAAAAATAACATTCTCAGGGTTACTGTTATACAGTGAGTAAAGCCGCTCCCTGCAGCACCAGCATCCCATATGGGCTCTAGTTTGAGTCCCAGTTGCTCCACCTCCAATTCAGCTCCTTGCTCCTGTCCTGGGGAAAAGCACTGGAAGACAGCTCAAGTGCTTAGGTCCTAGTTGGGGAATTCCCCTATTAGGCACAGCTACTGTTAGAGAGTGAATGCTAGAGCTGGGGTTGGGAACAAGTTAGACCAGTATGGGTTGCAGTGCCTGTTGGCATATGTATGAGCTGGGTCTGGAGGTAAGCTGGCCAGGGTCAGTTCACAGTACATAGTGGCATCAGTGAAAACCAGTACAGGGTGCGGGCCAGATTGGGTTGGACTGCAACACCTGCCAGTTAATATGAGGGCTGGGGGTAGGCCAGGCTAGGCTAAGCTGCTCCCACTGGTGAGAGCTGGAACTGGGAGTGAGCAGGGCCAAGCCAGGCTATAGCACCTGCTGGGGAATATCAAGACTGGGGGCAGGCCATCTCAGACTGGAGCACAGTGCCTTCTGGCACACTAGATTCAGAGC